AACGCAAGAATTTAAGACTATACATTCAAATCCAGTTAAAATATAAGCAATATAAAAGATTTAAAATATAAAACAAAACCAACAATGCTAAACCTAGCAGCAATTATTTACGCTTCAATGCTATTATAATAGCTAAATATTTTGCTACTGAAGCGGTAATTATCGGATCAATATCTGACAGCAGATAAGAAGTCATCCATGGTTCCAGTGGAAGGTAGAGGTTACTTGAAAGATTAGGTAAACTGTCCTTGCTCAAAAGCCAGTCGAATCCGACTCTAGGGATGTGGTGCTCATCTCCGTTTTCAAGTCGAAGAGCCAGCGCTGTCCAAAGACATTTCCGTGGTCATGTGGCTGGTATAACTAGATGCCAAGGCTGTTACCTTCCCACCAAAGCGGTACCTATTTATCTACTTGCAATTTCTTGCTTTCGAAATGCTAGGTTGGCAGGAGCTGGAACTAGGTTGGCAGGAGCTGGAACCAGAGGCTCACTCCGTCTTGCGGCCCTCAAGTCTCAAACTGCTGAACCACCGATCTTCCAGCCTGCAGTTCAGTGTCTTAACCACTTGAGCCATCGCAGCCCCTACTGGAAAGATTACTGTGAGTTTAATAGAATTATGCCCTGTGTTTAATGTTAACTGAAACTTATTTCATCCTTCCTGATTCAGGAGAAAAAAAACACACTAAATCAAGTAAAGTCGGAGAGACTGACATGTTTTATCATTCTGCAGATCGATGCCAGTACTGATAGCCAGTAAGCTACAGAAAAATGAATAAAGTACATAACACTGTACCTACTAATTAATAAAGGAAAGGAGACTTCCATATACACATTTTCCAGAGTCATCTTTCTGGTTTTCAGCAGTAAATGGAATTTCTTTTCCCCTCCCTTTGCAAACTTGCACAAATGAGTGGGGGAGGTTAGCTAGGGTTGCCACCTCAGGCTTGTGAAATTCCTGGAAATCTGGAGGCAGTGCCTGGGGACAGCAGAGTTTGGGGACGGGGGAAGCACAGCAGGGATGTCCACTCTCTGAAACTGTCATTTCCTCCAAGGGCAACTGATCTATCTAGTCTGGAGATGAGTTGTAATTCTGGGAGAACTTCAGGTCTCTAACTTGAGACTGATAACCCTAGTAGAGGTGGAGTCTAGAATTAGTCTAGAACTGTGTAGTTCAACTGATAGTGGCAAGCCAATACAATTTAGCCACAAAAAGCCAAGAGCACGGAAACTGATGATTCTAGAAGATATAAAGCAACTGGGGCAAGTCACAGACAGCAAGATAAGTCAATGTTATATATGATACTAGCCTGATACCTGTGCTTTGCAATGGTATTTAAGTTCCGTAAATCCAGTTATAATACTGATGATGTGAAATTTGAAATGTGACATTTGTTGTAGGAATTCTAGTGGAGAAGATTGTAGTGTAAAAAATGAAGTGAGACATACGTACTTTTTTCGTCTCTACTGAAGGACCTCTCTCTAGACCACATTGGTGGTTCTGCCCTCAGGTGCTAGGATCACCAGGCTGCTTGATGAGCTCACTCTGGAGCAGGCCACATAGAACTGTCCATTTAAGAAGCAGTCGTCTGTTAAGTCAACTCCTGCCACCTTCCATGAAAGTGATGGCCTCTCTACTTGTGTTCCTAGGTTGTTTTGCTCATATGGAGACTGTGTTGTTCTGAGCACCTCAGGGTGATCTTGCTGGTACTTGGCCTATGTAGCTCAGTGCTCTGCAGGAGTACTATGTGCAAATGTCTTTGCTGCATTCCTAAATTGCCTCCTCCTTGTAGAGTTGGTGTATCTGGCTCAATGTTTGCCAGGAGGTTTCTTGGGGGCAAGAAGAGGTGAGAGGTGCGAGGGGGAGTTGGTGTGAGGGAGTGGTGATGTGGTGGACATTTCTTCAGGTTCTTGAGGGAGGCACACATCAAAATGGCTCCTAGAAAGGCCCATGAACATTCATTAACTCAATTGCCATGCTGGCTTTTTTGAAAAATGTCTATTCAGGAGTCTTGAATCACTGATTTCTGTAACTGTCCTCAACTGTCTGCAGCCTCTTCTAACTGTGTTTTTACCTTAGAACATTGCCATCCACAGCTGAGCAATCAGAGGGAGGTGGGTGCAAACAGGCAGGTTTTACCTCAAAACTCTGAACTACACAATTGACCAATGGGGGGGGAGGGGCAAGGAGGCAGCAGCCTGCCAGACACATGGAAAACAATTGGCGGAACACATTGTGCCCCTTTTTTACCCTCTTAATGTAACCCCCCCCCTTTTTAACAAAAATGCTTCTCATTTATGTTACATTTAAAAAGTGGGACATAACTACATATTCAGAACACCATCCGAGCAATCAGATACTAAGCAAGTTCCTATGAACCAATTTTCCAGAACCCACATTGTGAGAAGTTAAATAACCTAATAAAGGAAACCAGTTTTCTACAAATTTGGGGTATATTTCCACTGTGGGTGGGAGTGTGGCTAAGCTGGGCCAGCAGCAATGTTCCCTCTAAGCACTGGAGTCTTGTGAGCAAAAATTCAAATTTGCGAGCTACTGGCATTAAAGTTGGGAGCAAGCAATTTGGCTACTGCATAAATTAATTTGCTCTGGAGCCATCCTTCCTGAGCTAAGACAAAAATGTGTGAGTTAGAGACACACTAACTCAGCTTAGAGGGAACACTGGCCAGCAGAACCGCTAAGGTGATCCTGCTGGGGCGGCATCCTTGATGGATCAAAGTACCCTGGTCCTGCTCCTACACCTGACAGACACCGGCCTGTCTGGTGTTGGGGGGGACTGTATTTAAAGGCATCAGGGAGGCTGGGCCAGCAGCAGGGCTACGGCAATCCTGCTGAGCAAACCTCTCTGGCAGCTATAAGCATCCCACCTCCTCTTACACCTGACAGGCAGTTGCCTGTCCAGTGTAGGAGGGGAAGGGGGGAGGAGTATTAGAAGCCACTGTGGAGGCTGGGCCAGCAGGATCACTAAGGCGTTACTGCTGGGGTGGGCTCCCTCGTGGCTTTAAGCACCCTGCAACCACTGCTGCACCTGACAGACAACCACCTGTTAGGTGTAGGAGGTGGGAGGAAGAAAAAGAAGAAGAGATTGGATTTATACCCCGCCCTTCACTACCCAAAGGTGTCTCAGAGCAGCTTGCAAACTCCTTTCCCTTCCCCTCCCCACAATAGACACCCTGTGAGGTAGGTGGGGCTGAGAGAGCTCCGACAGAAACTGCTCTTTTTCAAGAACAGCTCTTATCAGAACTACAGCTTGCCCAAGGTCATCCAGCCAGGTGCAAGTGGAGGAGTGGGGAATCAAACCCGGTTCTCCCAGATTAGAGTCCGCCCACTTAACCAGTACACCAAACTGGAGTGTGTTGGAAACCATAAGAGAGGCTGGGCCAGCAGCATTACTACACCTCACAGGTGGTTGTTGGTCATTCCTGATTTCCTCAACTGTCATGAGCTCTGTGCAGTCTCCTGTAACTGATTTTTTTAACCTCAGAACGCTGAGCTCTGCAGCTGACCAATCAGAGAGTGGGGGGGGTGCAAGGAGGCAGCAGCCTGGCAGCCACATAGGAATCAATGGGGGGAGCACATTTTACCCCTTTTGACCCCTTAGGGGGTCAAAAATCCCTTCTTAGTGAGCATCTACATCATGGTAGGAGCGCTCTCCCCGAATTTCGTGTTTATAGGTCCAGCTGTTTGGCCTGGGCGTTGATTTTACAGTGAGGGGACTTTCTTTTATATATATATATATAGATTGAGTTTATATCAATTAGAAGACACTGGCTGCATTTCATTGCATAGGAAAATCAAGGTACACCCATAAGTAATTAGCTAAAGATAATGGCAGAAAATTCTTAAGAAGAAATAACAGGTAAATGATAATTCCTCTGCACATGTGCAAAATGTTTTTTCAATTAAGAGTAAAGAAGCAGTGCACATCGGAGCAAATGAAAAGTACCTTTCACTTACCACTAAGCAACTACAGTTTTATCTTTTCCCACACACTCAGAATTGAGAAACAGGGCCTACAGAGCAATGGCATTTCTCCCACACAGATTAAAGCACTAGCATGTCTGCCCCTGCAATACTGAATTCCTAGTTTTCCTCTCACTTAATAAGGTGATATTTTGCTCCTCTCCTCAATATTTGATACTTTTTAAGGGAACTGCTGATAGACTGAACAATGGTAAATTACTTTCTTCAAGGATATAAATCATATCAGCACAGGATGATAGCAATGATAGCAGTAAATAATAAAGCACTCAGGGCAGATGTGACTGAAGACAGAGATCCAGTTCTGTACAAGGTCTTATCTGCACAATGCAATGTATCATACAGACAACCTAGGGCCATCCTTTTTGATACCACAGGTTGGTAACGGAATATTTACATGTTACTTCATGTCAAAACATTCCTGCCCATGGAAACAGAGCACTCTTTGAAGGCTCTGAGTTTTCTTTCTTAGGTAAAATTGTTTTTTGTTCTGAGAAGGGTTTTTCACAGCGGACTGTTCATCTATCTATCTACGAATGCCTTTTTGTTACCAATGTTTATTTCCCAGCCAAAGCAGTCCCATCACGAGATCTAGCACATCTGCTGTTTGGCCAAAATGTTACAATTTCTATTCTGAAAGAAATAAAATCAATCAGCGTGGCACTTGCTGCCTGAAGCTAGGCAAGGTCCCAGCTCGTTATAAAAGGAACTGAACAGGGGCCCTGCAATAAAGGCCTTGGCTAAATAAGACCCCAGTTTAAACTGCAGGTGGCCCGGAACCTGCTGTTTCCCTCAAAGGAAGCAAGGCCGTCTGAGCATTCAGAGGTGCTTGTTAGAAAAAGTAAGCCAACCAGCATTGTGCAAACAAGTAATTGCAACAAGGTTGAAATGAAACAAATCAAACAAAACTAGGTTTCCAGAGAAGCCATGGCTACATCATTACAGAATGACATTTTGGAAATACATGGCAGGCACATGCTTGCAACGAGACAACACTCTGCTTACCAGAGATTAACAAGGAAAGGGTGTTCAAGACCCTGCATGATCTGCAACTCTTTGAAGACGTTTCTCACTTCATTTCGCTCAACGCATTTCTGCTTGTTCATGTATTTCATTGCATACATTTTCTTGGTGTCGTTCTTCTGAACGATGCATACCTGCAGAAAAGAAATCAAGACACTATATTCTACAGAATGGGACACGTAGAACTAATTCATTCTTTTAAAGAGTGGCTACCTGAGTATCTTACCTCTAATAAAATTTTACATTCCTAAGATGCTTTCTTATTTACAAAGGCCCTGTTTCTCTGGCACAAGCTAGCCCCATGGTCAACTGCCCTAAGAGTCAGCAACTAAAACTAAAATGATACTTTCCCACTGTAAATGAGTAACATGAAGGTAAGCCAACAACTTTTATTTTTTTAATCCCGAACTGACTAACTTTATATATGTTGAGAGGTCTGACGCAACAGCCTGTTTCTTAGCCTACGCCACAGGCATAGGGATGCCAGGTTCCCGCTAGAGACAGGGGAGTGGTGTTAAGCTGCTGTAGGACTTGCTGAAACTCTGTGGTTTGCCTGTCACCACTCCAGTGGCCAGTGGGAGAATAAAAAATTGAAAAACTGACATCAGCACAAAAGCATTACATCACTTCTGTGGGGAAACTGGAAGTGATGTTACACTGCTGTATGAATCTCCAGTGATTTTTAGAGCAGCATGACTTCATTTCTGGGTTTTCCCTGGAAACGATGTAATACCACCATGCTGACCACCACCACCACCCGACTTCCAACAGTTGCCAGCCACTGGCTAGCAACCCTACATGTCCACCAAATGCCTGTATAATGTAAGAGATTGTGCTTCCTTGCCATTTGGGGCCAGCTTGCATTGACACTTTCTAAGCATAAAAACGGGATCTTATGAGAATACAGTGACTTTGAAATAATGACTTTTTAATACAGACAAGGTTCTGCTTTGGTAAAAATATGGAGGCTGTATTTTATTATTCCTGAAAAATAGTCCAATTTTCCTCATACAGTGCTTCCCAAAGAGCAAAGTGAATAGGTTGGGAGAAAAAAGAGGCGGAATGCCAGCACGTCCTGATTTGCCCCAGCAAAAGGTCTCTCTCTACCAGATATTTACATACAATTGCAGCAGCAGCTCAGGTTTATCAATAAGAACAGTTTAATATCCTTTAATACATTTTGAGGATTCGGAGCCGGTAAGGAACAGGGCTTACATTCTCTTCAGCTTTTCAGAAGCTAAGGCTCAGTTTTTATCCACTGGCAATGCAGTATTCCTGGGTTTCAACTTACTTATCTGAAGACTTTACTTGTTTTGGAACACCTTGGTCTCCATCACATAGATCATTAGTTTAGTCTGCAAAAACGTACCTTTCCAAAGCTGCCTTTTCCAATGGCTCTCAAAATTTCAAAATGGTCAAAGGTGACTGTAAAAAAACAGTAAAGGTTTAATAATTAAAGCCTTAGTGATTCAACATTAAAAATAACTATCCTTCAGGCTGTTTCACTGTAGGAAGGCCCATTTTATTGTTAACATACTAGGTTATAGACTCACTGTAACAGAGGCTCCCAACCTTTTTGAGCCTACAGGCACCTTTGGAATTCTGACACAGGGCAGTGGGCAAACAACAAAATGACTGCTGTAGTTGGGTCCTGTTCACACTGGCCGATTTGAGCCGGGAGCGGAACAGTTCGGGGCCGGATCAAACCGGCGCGATCACACCACAACATCTGGGAAGCGTCTTGCTTCCGTGGCCGAACTGTCCCTTCCCCGCAGAAATCCGCCTCAAACCGAACCACCTACCTTAGGTGGTTCAAATGGGAGAGGCGCTTCTAACCGGGCGTTTGATCGCCGGCGCGTCTTTGCGCTGGCACAACCCCGGCCCGGATCCGAACTGCGCATGCTCAGACATGCGCAGTTTGGCCGGCCCCCGGTTAGGGCCGTGTTTTCTCCCCGGCGTTTGATCGCGCCGGGGAGAAAAGGCGGCGCGGCCGGGGGATCCGTGGGAGGCTTTTTTCCTGTCCTGTGGCAGGGGCCTTGGTGGAGCTAATCCCAGATTAGCTGATACGCAGGAGGCACAGCCAACTACAAAATGTCAGGGATCAAGGTTATATGTAACTCTATTAGTAACTCTTCAACATTTCAGGCAGAAGCTCTGCTCAACAGGATGCCTTCTAATCTACACAGGCCATCAGAAGCCAGACTGATCAAAAGACCCGCCCACTTTCTAGAAACACTTGATGGGAGCCAGGAAAGGTGTTGGCAGGTGACATGGTGCCCATGGGCACCAGGTTGGGGACCCCTGCACTAGAAATTAATTGTTTATTCTGATATTAGCCGGACTGCCTACTCCACATTGTTTTGTGCACATCAATTCCCCATGATGGCATAAGTCTTCAGTCAAAACAACAACAATTAAGTTCAGTTTTATTTGTATTCAGCTAAAGTCATACTAAATAAAAGGGATTCTCTTTTCACACATTTAGATCTTGATTCTCTTACTGTTGAAACTGAAACACAGGTGCACAAAATGATCATTTTGAACAAATTTCTTCTGTTCAGGATTATGTGAACCTTCAAGTTACACAGAACTTTTCTTTAAGCAGGAAGGAAATAAAAGAATTAACCCAAGTATAACCTTCTGACCTAGAGTTGCCAACCCCCCCCCCCGCCAAGAGTTTCCACCCCCCCCCCCCGGTTTGGCAGGAGTCCCCTGCTTTAGGGGGGCTTCTACCCGCCAGCAGCCAGCTGGCTGCCGGGGAAGCCCCACCCCCAAGCCCCAACACCCGCCGCCACCCTTTTCCCTTCTCTCTTAAGAGAGAGGAGGGAGAGGGGTGGCTGTGGGCCAGCTGACTGGGCGCACGGAAACGCCAGCTCCCTGCAGTTAAAGGGGTCCCCTTAACTGCAGGGAGCCAGAGCCCCTGTTGGGCGGGGGGACATCCCCAACATGACATCATCACGTCAGGGATGCCCCGCCCCCTCCAGGAACGCCCCCCCAAAGTCCCCCGCTGGGGGGGGGGAAGATAGGACTTGGCAACCCTAAATTCTGCTTAGGACGGCCATTTTAAATGGGGGGGGGGAACCTCAAAAAGAATATTATAAAACCACTCGTGTTTATGCTTCATTGTAACCATAGCAATGTTGCCTTTATAGCCATCAGTTTTTTCGGGGTAAAGGAAGTCTGAATCTTCCACAAGCATCCCTGACACCTTGGCCCATTTTCTCCTTACTGTATCCGCTCAGGCTGCCGTTTGGCACCTACTGTCTTGGGTGAAAGCTGCACTGAACTCAGTGGGGATGTTCTTCTTGAAGAGTGTGCACAGGATTGTGCTGTCAATCTACGGAAGTTGTGAAACAGCCAGAGATTAAGGCCTAGTTTTCAATGAGAGGGCAAACCAGACTTCTAGTCATGTCATCCAGGGATCTTCTGGAGTCCCAAGTTGCTTGTTTTTGTGTTTGTTTAATTTACACCCAGTCTTTCTCCCCACTGAGGAGTCCCAGGCTTCCCTCTGAGTTAGTGTGAGCTAGCTCATATTTTTGTCTCCACTCAGGAAGGAGGGCTCCGGAGCAAACTAATTTATGCAGCAGCCAAATCGCTCACTCACAACTTTAATGCCAGTTGCTCACAAAGTAGAATTTTTGCTCACAAGACTCCACTGCTTAGAGGGAGCATTGCTGGGAACCCAAACCAGCTTATGTTGTTCTCCTCACTTCTGTTTTATCCTGAGAACAACCCTGTGAGGAAAGTTAGGCTGAGAGTGTGTGAGGTCACCCAGTAAACTTCCATGACAGAGTGGGGACTCAAATGTGCGTTTCCCAGATCCTAGTCTGAGTAAGACTGTCTGACACTAACCCAGACATGTCAAACATACAGCCCGGGGGTCAGAATTGGCCTATCCAGGGCTCTTATCCAGCCTGCAAGCAACTGGGGGGAATTGTGGAACAGAATTTATTTATTTATTTGTTTATTTATTTATCAATCAAATTTCTACTCTGCCCTCCCAGCCAGAGCTGGCTTAGGGCTGCTTACATAAAAAACAAATAAGTTACATTAAAACGTAAGGTACAATTAAAACAATTCTAAAACCATAGTAAAGTACTAGTAGTCGTTGTTCATTTGATGGTGGCAGCCATTATACGGTGTTCTTAACTCACTGTCGACTCACAGTGTTCATTTTTTAGTGTCCTTGCAGTGATTGATGTCATTTAGGCTGTCGGTAGAAGTTCCAGGGATCCAGGGCGCTCTCACATTCAACTGTTAGCTGTTCACTATTGGTGGTGGTGGCAGCGGCTCCCGAAAGCCTGGTGGAAGAGCTCTGTTTTGCAGGCCCTGTGGAACTATAAAAGGTCCTGCAGGGCCCCGTTCTCCTCCGGGAGCTCATTCCACCAGGACGGGGCTGCCACCGAGAAAGAAGGACCTATATTAGGGTATTATATCCCCCTGCTGAGGTCCCTCCTTTTCCCCAATGCAGGCCTTCCCCCAGATCTCCAGGGATTGCCCAACCCTGAGTTGGCAAACATATTCTGACCCAATACAGATTCCAAAATTATGTTTTATGCCCAACTGACACACAAAATGTGTTTCACCTAAAGGTATGAGTAGTTTAAAAAATGGGGGGGGAGAATCATCACACACCAAAGAAAGGTAGTGGCTTTGAAACCCTCCTTTTTTACCTGTACAAGTCTCTCTCCTGCAATGCCACAAAAACATAATGGTTTGTAATATTGTTCCAACACACAGTCCTGTTGCATCCCTAGTACTGTTTTGTCGGGATGGCCACAAACTGGCTCATGAACTAAAGTTATGGCCCCCCAAATTTCCCCAGAAAGCACTTTCCTGGGGGCACCTTCTTTGGAGGGCCATAACATGGACCCCATAAATCCAATCCTCACCAAACTTGGAGGGCACGTAGAAGAGAGTCAGCCAGAGATCCCCTGTGAGTTTGGTGCCTCGAATACATCAGGGAGCTGTTCTACTGCCTTGCAAACCAAACCAGTTCATGAGGTGGCTAAAAGCTCATGGTTCACAAAAGGGGCATGCCACAAACCATGAACCAAACCATATTTTTCCTGTTCATGCCCATCCCTGCTGTTTTGAAGCACATGAAGCATTAGGA